AAAAGTGTCTTTTACTGTTTGTTTGAGTTCTCGAATTTTTTAAATGTAGTAAAAATTGGAATTTGGGGATTATCCTAGTTGGGGCTATAGATAGGTTTATAAACAAGACTCTCTGAACATTTCAAGTGAATCGGTCGAGTAGAACTCGAGAAATCGTGTCAACAGTACTGAAAAAGACTGTTATGAGGAAAACGCATTTAAAGTTTTGCGTGAAGCCAAACCAGTATGGAGACCGAGTCAGTAAAATGCCTATATCTCCGAAAATAAATCAAATTTACGAAAACCTTCTTGTACCTATATTTTTGATAGTTAAGCTTTGAAAATATGAAATAAAAAAAAATCGATTTTTTTGAATTTCTTATGCACTAGAATACCCCCAAACTAAGTTTATGTTATTTACTATGTGGTTTATTTTAAGTACCTTTGCCAACGTTTTGTTTTTTTTTCCCAGATATTTTGGTATCACACAACTGTTGTACGTGGAACTGCCAAAATCCTCGTATAATAACAATTTTGGATGTAGAATGGGCATCGTTTGTAAACCCAGTAGCCTTGTATCTTTTATACTACACCATGATTTTAGAAACAAAAGTTTTGCTCAAACCACAGGTTAGTAACTTCAAACATTCACCTTAAGTAGATTTTTTGGATTCAATAATTCTGGTTTTCGAGTAGTTTTTTTTATCATAATCATTATTCCCATGCTGCTCTATGGTCTCGGATTATTATTCTGTAGAGGGAAAGAAAATTATCAAACTTGACGCTGGAAGTTTTAGCGGCTCTTTGACGCGTCAAGTTTCTGCACGTTTGTCCAGGGCCAAACTGGTGCGATCGACCTCTGATTCTGCTAAAACTACCACTGATAAATGGAGAACGGCCACTACAAAATTACGAGTAGATTATTCAAATTTTTCAAAATTTTAACTAAATTCTTTGCGCTTTTTGTTGTGATTACACGCCGCTTCGATAGATGTCGACACCTGTCTTAAGTAATTTTTTGCTGATCCGGCCAAAAATATTTGTATCACACTTTATTTTTCTATCATTGTTTTATGTATGTTTTTACTAATTTTGCAGTACTAACCACAAAAATTTTCCTGCTTTTATTTGTTTTGTTTTAATTTGTTTTAGGTTCAAAATAGAACAAATAAAGCACGTCGAAAGATGAACGAAACGACGCCTGTACGTATCATTTTTGTATAACATATTTCTATTTTTTTTTAGTTTTAATATATTAATATACATGGTGAATTTTTATTCAAGATTTTTTACGTATTTTCATTAATAATTGGTTTTTGTTTACTGCACTGCATCTTCTTTTGCACCAGTAGATTTTATATTCATTTTTTTATATTGGTGTTGGGTTTTATTTATTTCAAAATTAATATATTTGTTATTAATTTATTTGAAGTAATTTCCAAATTTAATAGTACCTTGTGAATATGTAATATACTAAAAATTTATTAGGCTTTTTATTTTTTTTTTCAAATATATATTTGGAGTACAAAAATATATCTAACGAAAATATTATATTTTCAAGAATTTTATATATTTTTTTTATTCTTATTTTATATTTTCGAATTAAATCATATTTTGTAAATGCTTTAAATTTTTAAAAATATATATTATTAAATTTTTACATACTAAATATATATTACTGCTATATTATTTTTTATTCAAATCTTTTGGTATAAAAATGTTATTTGATAGGCTTTTATATAGTTGCAGATTTTAATAAAATAAATTAAAAATTATGTTTAGTGTTAAAGTACTAACTTATGGAATTATAAAATAATTATGATTGTTTAATATGTGTAATTTTTTTTGTTCAAAGTCCCTAAAAATCGTTTAAAAAAAGCAATAATTTTAGAATTCTATGAATAATTATTACAATAAAAGTAAAATGTTTAAGTTTATTTTAAGTTTTAAATAATGAATATAAATGTTCTCATATTTATAATTATGAATCATTATGCCAAAAATCATTAAAAAAAAATTATTAAAAGTAGCAATAATTTTATAGTTCTAAACAAAATTTATTTATTACTACTAAAATAATAAATATTTCTAAATTTATTTCTAATTTTAAATCTTTTAGCAAAGTCTCTAAGAAAAATTCTAAAATAAATTAATTTACTATAACAATAAATAAATATAAATTTTTATAAATAGATTTCTAAATTATAAATAATATTATAAGGTTCTTATATTTTCAAAATCATAACACAAAACATCTCTAAAAAAATTACTAAACCAAGCAATAATTCTAAAATTCTAAACGAAAATAATTTATTATAATAAGTAAAAATATTTTTTTATAAGTAATTTTCTAAAGTATAAATTTTGATAAAATATTCTTGTTTGCTTAAAATCTTTACACAAAAAATCTCTAAAAAAATAATGAAAAGAAGAAACTATTCCAGAATTCTGAACAAAATTAATTTATTATAACAATTAGTAAAATAAACTTTTATAAGTAAATTTCTAAATTAATAATATAATAATAATATTGTAAGATTCTTATATTTTTAAAATCTTCACACAAAAAAACTCTAAAAAATAATCAAAAAAAAGCAATAATTCTGAAATTCTGAACGATATTTATTTATTTCTGCACACGTAAAAATAATGTTTTCTAGTCGATGGAAATGGTTTCTTTAAAATAATTAAAATAATACTTTTTTTAAATTTATGTAATTAAAATAAATACATACTTATATAGTTGTTACTACTTGAAGTAATTTTTGTTTTTAAATTTAATATTTATAAAATTCTCGTTATTCTGCAAATTGTAAATAATTCGTCTGCACTTTTCTTGGTATTACCAAATTTAGACAATTAATTATTTAATTTTTAATTGTTATATAATTATTAATTTAATTTATTATGCTATTAATATAAAAACTACGTAATAAAAACGTAAATATATCTAAATGAATTTTTAATACTGTTTTATTTATTAGTTAATAAGAGGTGTAAGTCCTGGTAGAAGATACATGAAACAGACTTCTACTCAAGAGGCAGTTGGAACCACAAATAGTGAGGTACCTGAAGAAAATATACAAATGCAGGACATGAATGGTAAAAATTTAATTTAATAATTACTAGATTTTGAATAAAAATTGTTAATAATTTTGTTTTTGTTTTTCCTTCAGAAACTGTGGAAGAAGATGGAACTTTGTTGGAACAAATCATTCTTGCCATTGTGTCAATATTTCAAGTTATAATAATGTCTTCCTATATCTTCACCAATATCATCATGATGGTATGTACACAAAAAATATTTTATTAAATTTTTATTTACTTTTATATCGGAGTTTATATAACTGTTGGTATGGAATCGCAGTAAATTTTATCTAGTTTCTCCCTGTCTAACTTAAAAGGGGTGCTGATATTTGTTAGTAATTTCAAAAAAATCAAAAAAATGTCCCAAATTTTCTATTAAATGCTGAAGAAAATAAAAAGTCGAATTCAAATTCATTTTATCTTGATGATTTATTTTATTTGTCCTTATGACATAAGGAAAATGCAAAATTACAAAAACATAAAGGCACACAAAACTGGATTTTTTTATTTATTTTGATATTATAATTCTAATTATATATTATTTTAGCATATAAGTTGATTTCTGACAAATGGTGTGAAATTATTTAGATACGATTTTGGCTTAATTCACTTACAGCAAATTTTTCTTTGCAAAATGCACATATCAAACGAAATTTTGAACTTTTCTTTTATTTAATTAATAACTGTTATATCAACGTAAAATTTAGTTTTAAACTTATTACTAACTGACTTCAATTTAGGATCTGATATACTTAACATATTGCTACTTTAATAATAGTTTTCTATAACATATATTTGTGAGATGAAAGTAAACTGAAAGTAAATCTGCAAGGAACAAATGAGAATGACGTTCTAATATATATTTATGTAAACAAACGAGAAACGCTCTCACAGCCATTATATCTTGAGTGCGCGTGTGCTCCTGATAATTGAAAAGATGAAAATAATATTCTCGAAGTCCCAAAATGCGTCCGAACTGCGTATGTATAAATATACCAGAATGGTTTTTAGCGAATATCTCGGAAACGGTTAGAGCTATCATAAAAATTTTTGCACCTGCAGATACATATTTTAAATGCGAATATTTCATTCATACACATCATGACCCTATGTTGAATATTTTTCGAGATATAGACGTTTAACTGTTTCAAACTTGATAATTTGAAACAGTTTTTGGGCTATATCTCGCGAACGGTGAGAGGTATTTTAAAAACTCTTATACAGGGTTAAAAGATCTTTTGATTTAGAATATTTCATCCGAAAACATCAATGTCTTATCATGATTCGTTCAAAAGTTATGGGCGCTTAAAGATTTCACGAGTAAAAATGTCCAAAAAATGGACGAAAAATTTGTTAGTTTTTTTAATTTTTCACCGACTTCCCGGGCACGTAGAGGCTTCAATTAAACGCCAGGCAAATTGTCTTGTGGGCTAGAATTTCTATTAAACCAAATCAAATCTATTCAAATTAATCTAGTTATGAATAAGGGTTACTCCGAATTTTCAAAATGTGTTTTTTATTAAGGCGCCTAGTTGCATTAGTCGTACCTATAATATAATAATTTATTTATTTTGCAGACATGGAGTATTACATATCACAGCTGGTTAACGTTCATCCTTCTCTTGTGGGCTAATATTGTATGGATAGTTCCGAATCAAAGACGTACTATGTTGAGGACAAGCCCGTTGCTGGTTTTCTATGCACAATTTCTCCTTTTAGCACAATATATTTATGGAATGGATTTAACTGAAGAAGAACTACCTTCTGTAATATCAGTAAGTATAACTATACATATTTTCGTACAAAAATTCCTGTTGATCATAATTGTTTTCCTTAGGGGATGAATATGGCACAAATAGGCTTCGACAGGCCCAAAACTCTACCTTGCAGTCCTCTGATTATAAAATCCTTGTTTACCATAATGTTTTGGATAACTTTGAGGCAAATGATGCAGGAACGTAAACAGGAAAAAAGAAAGTCTACAATTGCTGATATGGTTGCTCCTTTGCAATTGACAGTCGGAGCTGCAACATCTAGTAAATAAAAAATTAAATAATTTCTTTGGCTTAAGGGACACAACTAGTGTGAAATTTTCAAAAAATCGAATTTTCAATTTTTTCATATTTCGATAGGTTATACCTTTAAAAATAACATACCAAAATTTTAAATCGCTATCTTAAATAGTTTTTGAGTCACAGAGTAAGAGTATTTATATAGTTATAACGATCATTTAATCTTTAAACGCGTTTTTCTCGAAACGGCATTTTCCGAATTTGCTGTAGCGATTACTCAAAAACAAATGATCCGATCACTATTTATTTTTTTTTACATGTTCTATATATAGTTCTCCGTAAAATGAACTATCGATTTTTTGATCGGATCAAAAATCGAATTTTGGCAGTCCAAAAACGACCAAAATTTTGGGTAAAATTCGACTTTTTTTTCCAAAAAAAACGCCGTCATTTTGTCAATTTTTGATTTTTTTTCTTTATAGTAATTTATTTTACAGACAATATTATAGAGTTTAACGAGATTTTTTTTTAAATATCATCCACGTAAAAGGCCGGAATCATTGCAGCAGTGAAGGGCTCTTTTTTTGTCCCGCCGTTGGAGATCGACGATAACTTAAAAATATTTTTTTTTTTTTTTTCAAAAATTTTTCTATGTATTCTTAAAACATGTATAAATATATTCCTGAAATTTTGAAATGATTGATGACGTAGTTTTTTTAATATAAATTCCCAAACATCACCTTTTTTGAGACGGTTTCACTAGTTGTGCCCCTTAAAGAATATATTTTTAGGAATTTTCTAATTATTCTGATATTTTTGTAAAAATTGATTTTTCAAACAATTTTGATATTTTTTAAAATTATACAAATTTTTATTTTTGAAAATTGTGACAAATTTTGTAAATTGGACTTTATTCAAACTTATTTAAAATAACGAAATTTTTTTCTATTTTCACATTCTTTGCGCTTCATAATAATATAAAATTTGTATCCGCACACACCCACACACACACAGACACAAACACGATGTTCAGAAACCTTTGAAACGTAAAGATATGAAGAATTTTCATTTCCGATTTTTTTCGAATACTATAACTTGCTATGCTAAATTATACTATTTTCAACTATTTTAAAGTAGAGGGCAAGACTTATGAACCAGCCATGGAGCGATGTAGATGTCAGATGTATTTTTTTCAATTTTGAGCACAGTTATTTAGTTTGATACCCTTGTGCTTCGTCTTACCCTAATAGTTGAAAAAAACTCAAACTTTCGAAATTACATAATTTTCAAAAAAAAAAATTGTAAAATTTAAAAAAATACTATGTCTTCTTAAAACATGTATAAATATATTCATAAAATTTTGAAATGAGTGATAAAGTACTTTTTTTAATATAAATTCCCAAAAATCATCTTTTTTTAGGCGGTTACACTAGTTGTGCCGTTTAAAGGATATATTTTTAAGATTTTTTTTACCTTTGCAGCAATTCCTAAGGAAGAACCTGAAATGAAAAGCAAGTTTATGGTAAAAGCAGGAAATATTATCAAAAAACATAATGACTAAATTTTGGATTTGGGTTGTTGCTATAATGTTATTCGTCAGCGGAGTTACTGGGCAAAGAATGACCGTTTTTAGAATTATTTACATGTCCTTGTTTTTGATATTCATGCTCACATTTCAAGTAAGATAAACCAAAAATACATAATTATTAGAAGTACATAAAGTATTATAAAATTATCTTTTACTATTTAGATATCCTGGAAAATTTGGCGCAAAATTATGTACGGTTTTTGGTTAACCGTAATAGTCTTTTCCATGTGCATCCTAATTATGGTCTATACATATCAATTTGACAACTTCCCTGAATATTGGCAAGATTATGCCAAAATTCCAAGTAAATTGTAAGTTGTAAAAAAAACTAGTTGTTCGTGGTATCGTGCCTTAAGGCAGGAAACATCCTGTACCGTCATAAAACATTCGAGAAATTAAAATTATTCAATAGCTATGTTTAAAATAATTCAAATAATATTAATAGAAAAATAAATTGAATAAATGCATCCTGTGATTTTTATAAATTGGTCGAAGATGTTTACAAGATTTTTCTTTTTTAATTCAGCTATTTTTGAAAATTTTGTTTAAATTCCGTTTAAATAAATAGGTATTTTTTCAAAAGTAAGTAAATTTTTTAAATGTACAAAATTTGTTTTAGAGTTTTTGGAAAAAACATTTGGTTTAAATTTTTTGAAAATATCGATATATTCTGATATTTTTGTAAAAATTGATTTTTCAAAAAAAATTGTTATTTTTTTAAATTTTACAATTTTTTTTTGTTTTTTTTTTAAATTATTAAATTTTTTTGCTTACCAGTAACTCAAACTAAATTATACTATTTTCAGTACAAAATTTAATAGATTCTTTAAATGTGCAAAATATTTTTCATAGTTTCTGAAAAAAAAAACGTTTTTTTAATTTTTTGAGCATTTGGAAGTTTTTGAAAATATTCGGTTTTATTGAAAATTTTAAATTTTTTGGAAAGATCGATATATTCTGATATTTCTGTAAAAGACATTTGACACTTTTTAAATTTTACCATTTTTTAATTATGAAAAATTTGTAAAAATTGATTTTTTTTCAAAATAACGAAATTTTCTGTAAAAAGAGTTTTTTCACATCGTCTAAGTTTTTTTGAAAATTTTGAATTGAAAATAATTGAATCTTTTTTCAAAAAATTGTAATTTTTTTAAATTTGCAAAAATTTTTCATAGTTTTTGAAAAAAAGACGTTTTTTTTTAATTTTTTGAGAATTTTGATTTGTTTAAAATATTAGGTTTCATTGAAAATTTTGATATTTTTGAAGTTCTCGAAATATTCTGATATTTTTGTAAAAGATATTTGGCAGTTTTTTAAATTTTATCTTTTTTTTTGAAAATTATGAAAAATTTGGAAAATTGGAATTTGTCGAAAAATTATCACTTCCGATTGCTATAAGTTACAATGCTAAAGTATACTAATTTTAACTATACTATTTTAAAGTAGAGGGCAAAACTTATGAATCAGCAATGGGGTGATGTAGATTTCAGGAGATGTATTTTTTTTTATTTTGAGCACTGATGTTTAGTTTGATACCCTTCCTTAACTCTAATTTTGATACCCTTGCCCAACTCCAATTTTCGAATTTTTTCATAATTTTCAAAAAAAATATTTTTTGAATTCATTTTTTACAAAAATATCAGAATATTCCATATTTTCCAAAATTTTCAATAAAACCGAATATTTATATAAATTATCAAATAAAATAATTAATAAAAAAACGAGTTTTTCTCAAAAATTCTAGAAAATTTTGATATTTGAAAAATTTAATAAATTTTGAGAAAAACGTTTCAAACGTTTTAAACGTTTCAAAATTGTCAAAAAAAATCTAAATTTGAATAAAATGGTACAAATTTTTTGCAAACATCAAAAAAATCTAAATTTGAATAAAAAGGAACAAATTTTCGTGAACATCGTCGCCCAATTTAACAAGCACTTATAAATTCACAGTATGCATTTATGGAATTTATTTTTACCTTTAGGTACTGATGGATTTTAAAATATTTTATAATATTTTAAATATTATATTTTTATATAATATTTTATATTTTTTTTCAGACAATTAGATATAGGTTTAGAAAGATACCAGACCAGGGAGTTATTCATAAAACTTGTAACGCCTACATTTTTCGTAATAATATCTGTGATTCAGTTGCACTATTTTCATAAGGATTTCTTGGCGTTATCTGACATGAAACGAAGGTAATAAAAGATATATATTATTTAAATAAAATAAAATCATTTTTCAGAAAAAAATCTTGATTTTGAGTAACAAAAAATCAAGAAAATCTGAATTGTTTCGTACTACTTTCTGATTGTGCGTGTTTTGCGCTCCATTGACTCGACTAATATAGTTCTTTAATTATGGCGAATTTTGGTTTAATTTAATTTTTTTTTTCAGGACTAGTAGTGTAGGTAATAGAACCCAATTTTCAGCACGTTCAGATGCAAGTTCTGCACAAGGAGGACCTTTTAGTATTTATGGTTCAGAACCTGCAGATGTCGAAGAACCTACAACCAAAGAACCACCATCTGTGTAAGAACAATGCAAATTTGGGCCTTATGCATATTATTCTGAAGCCTAAAAATTTATGTGTAAAATTTTCAGTATTTTAGAAAGAGAACTTTCGAGTGACTCCTTAGTTATCCATCAAGGCGTCCAAAAAATTAAAAGTATCCTCAAGGATATTTACGAACTTACTTTCCAAGCCTTAGAACTGCACATGGTGAAGATTATAATGTTTTCCATAATGATTATGTGCATATACGAGGTAAGGATAAAAAATAATGAAATAATTAAAATTTAGGATATATATTTTTATTATTTTTGCAGGTTTCTGCAATGCACATCCTGTTCGTCCTTCTAATTTCCTTATGTCAAATTTTCGACAGCAAATGGCAAGTAATAGTCACCAAAATTATAACAGTCGTCGTTTCAGTCTTATTTATACTAAAAATGATATATCAAATTGAGTATATAGAACACACAGATTATGATGTCAACTGTACAGTAAGTACCTAATTTCTGTAACTAATTAAAATTTGTTTATAATTTTTTTTTGTATTTTTAGGATAGTAATGGTGAGGAGCATGTGTACAATACTGCTGAATGGATTGGATTCGAAAAAATCAGTTCAGGAGTTTCTTTGTCGAATCTTTTGCAATGTTATATAGGAATTATTGTTGTAACGACTTTGAATGCTTTGGTTATTATTAGACAACAATATGAAAGGTAATAATATTACATAATTGTAATTTTCTACTTAGTATAAAATTTTATGTTTATTCGAGTCTTCAAAGTTTTCTGTCTATTTGGGTCAATTTATCCTCAAATTTATTTTATATGATTTGAGTTAATGTTAATAAATAATGTATACGTATTGTATTGTATGTATGATTAAAAATATTTTAGTTTTTATTATTTTTTTGTAGGTTTTTGCAAGGTAAACCCCAAACCCGACCTTACTACATGTTTCCTGGTATAACACGAGCTGATGCTGATAAAGATGTACGGCACTGCCTTAAATATTTGGCTAATTTCGGATATTACAAATTCGGATTAGAGGTAATAATATATACTTAATTTTATATAAATAAAACTTGAGAACTTAAAAACAAAATCACTCTTAAAATCCACAAACCATTATTCAACTTAATTGTGCTCTGATGGAATAATAAAATTTTTATAAAATTTGTTCTAACATTCAATAGATATTTATTATAATTATATAAAATTTTCCTAAAAAAATATGACTTCTTTATTTATTTTTAAGGAAAATATCAGAAAAGGACGGAGAAAATTAAGAGCAACGTCTAAAAATAGTATTGTGCTAATTTTTAAGAAAATATGATTTTTTAATGAAAAAAATTGAAATTAAGACGTTGAATATTAAGAAAAAAATCCCTAAAATATTTTTTAAGGTTCCAATCGATATTGTTATAATTTCAAGGCATTTTCCAAGAAAAATGACATTTGAGATTGATTGATTTTTAACGAAAAAATTTGAATTATAAAAGAGAGTATTAAGTAAAACATTTATGAATTATATTAATTGATATCTATTATAATTTTATGTCATTTGCCAAAATTATGACTTTCTTATGTTCATTTTCAATGAAAAAAACAGATTTGAGATAGAGAATATTAAAAAAAATGATCTAAAAAATATATTTTAACGTGCAATATTTTTTTAATATAACTTTATGTTATTTATTATAAGTATGACTTTTTATAATAATTTTTTAACAAAACAATAGAAGTAGAGACAGAAAATATTTTTAAAAAAAATCTATAAAATATATTATAACTTATAATAGACATTTGTCACATTTTCCAGAAAATATGACTTTTTTATATATTTTTAACGAAAAAAAACAAAAGAAAGATGGAGCATATTAAAAAGAACGTCTAAAAATATATTTCACGTTTAATAGATACATAATTATTATAATTACGGACTATTTTCCAAAAATATGACTTTTTATATTGATCTTTAATGAAAAAAAGCAATTAAATTTGTGGATATTAAAGAAAAAAATATATAAATAATATTTTAATTTTTAATAGATATTTTTTATAGTTTCATGCTATTTTCCAAAGATATGACTCTTTTATATTAATTTTTATGCAAAAAAACATGGTTAAAGACATTGAATATTAAGAAAAAGTTCTCAAAAATACTTCAAAACGTTTAATGAAATCTATTATAATTTTAAGCTATTTTCCTGGCTTATAACTTAATTTTTAACAATTATGAAAAAAATGAATTAGTACAGAAAATATTTAGAAAAAAATCTATAAAATACAGTTTAAATTTTAATACTTTTTTATTACAATTTACTGCTATTTTGAAAAAAAATGACTTTTTTATATTGATTATTAACGAAAAAACGAAATTACAAAAGAGAATATTCAGAAAAAAAAATCTATAAAATATATTTTATCATTTAATAGATATTTGAAAAAAATCACATGCCATGTTCCAAAAAAAATAGATTTTTATATAGATTTTTATTTCAGATAAGTCTGATAGCAACTGTAGGAGTAATCTGCATACGTTTGGACGCTTTTGCAATTTTTTACGGAATTTGGCTTTTGGTATTATTTGGCCTAAAACGTAGAATGGCATCAAAAATTTGGCCTGCTTATGTAATCTTTATAGTAGTCATAATTCCTTTACAATATTGTATGGTCGTCGGATTTCCACCATCACTTTGTATACGTAAGTAGAATAAATGACACAAAAATAAATTAATTGACACAAAAATAAATTATTTTGACACAAATAAAAATATTTTTTTTCTAGCTCTTCCTTGGGGTGATAGTGATATTTTACGTCGAACCCAAGAATTCATGTTTTTGGCAGATCCTGTAAATCCTCCGCCGGTTCAGAAATTAATTTGCGACTTTTTGCTTTTAGTTCTTGTTTGTCGACAGGTAAATTTTATTTTAAAAGTCAAAAGGACAGATTGTGGAATGTATAATTTTCTAATTAACAATTATTTTTTTTAGCAATTAGTGTTTCGTATCGAAAAACGATATGCCGGTGTCGAATATCCTGGTGGAAGCAATAGTAGTATTGTAAAACATGCAGAGGAGCCTTTTTTCAAAAATCCTGTTCCTGATTTTATAAGCGATCTGAGGTAAATAAAAACTTAATAAGAAAAATGTGCAGTGTTTTTTTTTTGACAGAAGTAACGTTAATAAAATGACCTTATCTAACTACATTGTCACCATTCAGAAAATAATTTAACTCTTTCAGATTTATTATTGATTGACAAAATTAAAATATTATTTATTGACGATATTTCAAATTTTTAATACTTTTGGATTATTTTTAATAATTTGCACAATGCTAATAATATTTATTGACATTTAATAGTATTTTTAACTCTTCTAATCTATTTCGTGTTTGAGGTCACTAATATATTAGTTTTTTTGTTTTAATAATGTAAATGTTTAATAAAATATATATTTCAACTGGTTTTAACTCGAGTGTAAGAGTGGCAATCTCATTTTATAACCATCACTTTTTTCAAAATCAAAATCAATTAAAAAACTCTTCATTCAGTTGCCGAATTCCAAGGATGCACATAATTTTAATCCTTAATTTTTCCCATGTTACTAAACAGGGTGTCCCAGAACTTAACGTCAAGCCCAAATGTAGTGATTTTAACTATCAAAAAAAATACAAAAAAAATTATTCCATGTATTTTGAAAATTATGAGCTTTCAAGGGCAACCTAGAACTTTGGTGAAAATGTATCAATTTTTGTTCATTTAAACTATGAAACTGTAACCATAAATTATATTTACACAAGCAAAAATACTGACACAATTGACCTCAAGTTTTCTTGTATTAAGGGGCACAACTAGTGTAACCGCCTAAAAAAAGGGTAAATTTTCGGAATTTATATTAAAAAAACTACTCCATCAATCATTTCAAAATTTTAGCAGTATATTTATACATGTTTTAAGAATACATAGTAAAATTTTTGAAGAAAAATATTAAATATTTTTATATATTATCGTCGATCTCCAACGGCGCGACAAAAAAAAGGCCCTTCACTGCTGCAGTGATTTCGGCCTTCTACGTGGATGAAATTTAAAAAAAAATTCTCGTTAAACTAGATAATATTATCTGTAAAATGAACTACAATAAAGAAAAAAAATCAAAAATTGACAAAATGACGGCGTTTCTTAAAAAAAAAGTCGAATTTTACCCAAAATTTTGGTGGTTTTTGGACTGCCAAAATTCGGTTTTTGATCCGATCAAAAAACCGATAGTTCATTTTACGGAGAACTATATATAAAACTTTTAAAAAAAGTTGATAGTGATCGGATCATTTGTTTTTGAGTAATCGCTGCAGCAAATTCGCAAAATGCTGTTTCAAAATTTATTCGAAAAACGCGTTCAAAGATTAAATGATCGTTATACTATATACTATATATATACTCTTTAAATGGCTGTAACTCAAAAACTATTTAAGATATCGATTTAAAATTTTGGTATGTTATTTTTAAAGGTATAACCTATCGAAATATGGAAAAATTGAAAATTCGATTTTTTGAAAATTTTACACTAGTTGTACCCCTTAGGACTTGTATTAAGATTTTTTGAACTGTAAATTTAAATTGTTCAAAATTGATCGACTTTAAGTGGCCCTCCTTTTGAAAAAATGTAATAAAGTATGTAAAATGTAAATGTAATAGTTGTTAGTAGTCATAATAAAAAAAATCGAGTAAAGAAATAAAAACTTAAAAATAACACGATTTTTGCTTGTACATTTCGTTTACAGTCAGTTCAAATATTTCGTCTAACACATTGATCTTTAGATTATTTTTTTAGCTTCAAGTTACTTTTATGATTTCATTTTTTTATTATTCACAAATTTTATTTATTTTATTTATTAATTTTATTATTTGCTTTCGTTTTATATAAAATCATCATAATACGGATATCATTTTAATGAAAATACTATCCTTTATTTTGTACTCCATTTTATTTATATTTATGTTATTATTCACTCATATTACTAGATGTTATATTATTTAGTAGTTGTAACAGATATTGTAATTTCAAAAAAAATATCCATAAGACAAAATCATCAAACTCATTCGCCAGTAATAGAAATATTCATAAAAATACTTGAACAGTGATCCAAACTATATTTTCTACAAGGTACTAATTTTTTATCAAAAATATTATAAATGTTTTTTTTTTATAATTTCAGATCTTGGCTGGATGTGGTAAAACGTATTTTATTCACATCATTTTTATGGATCAGTTTGGCAACAGTATTTTTAGCAGGCAGTTTAAGAGTCAACATATTTTCTTTGGGGTACCTAATTGGCTCTTTTTACTTTTTGTGGCAAGGAACTGATTTATTACTACGACCTATCCCTATGATGATCAAAGGGTAATAAAAATAAATATAAAAAAAAATTATATTATTAATAATAATGGTAAAAATGATTTTTTTAGATGGAATGGTCTAATGGCTTTCAATGTATCAGTAATCGTATGTAAAGCTGCCTTACAAATCGTGGGTTGTATTTTTATAAAAGAAGTCGAAGTCCATGCTTGTTGGGCGATTCAACTTTTAGGCATAGGTTGTATACAAAAGTTTTCGCCTTCGTCACAATTTTTAGATCCTTCAAAGGTCTGTTCATATATTTTCAGATTTATTGATTTGTTTAATTTTTTTAATTTTTTTTTAAATTTTTTAGTGTTCGGTACCGAGAGAAGACATCGGTTTGGCGTGGGATGGTGCTTGTTTTGCATTTTTAATTTTGCAGAGGAAAATATTTAAGAGCTACTACTTTTTCCATATTATTAACGAAGTTAAAGCTATGACAATGCTTGCATCTAGGTAAGAAATTAATTAAAAATAACATTTTTGTTGTAGTTTCAATAAAATATATTTTTTTTAATCCTATTTATAATAAATCACCTTGACCAAATTTTTAAGTCAAGAAAGTTTTTTACTATAGTAATAAAATTACATAAATCAATTGTCTCTTACTGATTTTGGTTTTCTGTTTTTTTATCTAATTTTTTTTTTATCTTTTTTTATTTTAGAGGTGCAGAATTAAAAGAAGAACTCCAAAGAAAAAGAGTTGCAGAGCAAGAAGATGAAGAGAAAAATATTCTTGAAAAGATTAGGCAAAAAATGGATCGTATTAAAGCAAATCAAAAGCGAATTCAAGGACCTACTTTTATGGAAAAACAACATAAAGAAACTTCTCATTGTGCTGGTAAGTCGATTTTAATTTTTATAATTGATTCAAAAATTTTAACTTGTGGTATTACATAAAATTTGGGAAATAACAAGGATAGTATATTTTATGGGTAACTGTAAAATTTATATCTTCAGAGGTACCCTTTAACATACATCTTTGTTATAATTTGAATTTTATAAAATCAAAATAATTATTAACAAAAAAAAGTAAAATCGATTAATCAATTGACAAAAAAAATTGTATAAGTCTTGTACTTCAGGCGCTATTTGTTATAATGAAAATTATATTTTATTATTAAAGATATTATTAACATTTTTATATTTAGATATAACACTTTATTTTTTGATACTCTATAAGATAATTTCAAATTTCCTACAATGAAAAAAAGGGTTCGGCATTAATATTTTATTTAAAAAAAACTAGTTTCTGGAATTCCAAAATAAATTTCAGAGGCGTTTCACGTAAGTATCGACTAATTTATTGGAATATTACATATAATTTTAATAAATCTATATTTTAACACATAATAATACATGATTTGAATCTTAAGGTAAAAAAATAAATTGATAGGTTGTTCGAAAAATATTTGCAAGATATAAAATATTTGCAAAATATTATAGAATTATGAATGAACAAAATTTTGATTTTAACACATATATGTATATTTGTGTATGATCATAAAATAAGAAATTTCTTTTATGTAAGACACATGTATATTTTGTATGAATAGTTATTTCATTATCATGGTCAACTATCATTACATTCTTTTAATAAATAGAATAAATATCAATAACAGAACAGTAAATAATTTCAGTAAAAAACTTATTTTTTTTGTTTGAATTACAAAATATTATAGGATGAATTTCTTATATAAAAATTTGAAACCGGTTTTATACAAAAATTAATCACTATTGAAAAACCAGTGTTTTAATATGCCAAATTTTTCCATGTTTTCGACAATTTTTTTTCCTAAATTTAATTTGCTTGTCAGTAGAGTCCTTGGTAGAGTTCTATTTCTCTTTTTTTTCTTTAGTTCAAATTTAGTTTGCTTTGAGCCCTTGTTCTTTTTATATGAAAGTCATTTTTGTTTAAATATTCTTCGTCAGATTTTTGTGACAAATTTAATTTGCTCGTCAGTAGAGTCCTTTTCTTCCTAATGAATTTTTTTATAATCAATTTGCTCGTCGGTAGAGTACTTTTTATCATATTTTGCCTTGAGTTCAAATTTAGTTTGCTCGTTAGTAGAGTCCCTTTTTGTCTATCTGGGAGTCATTTTTGTTTTAACATCAAATTTTTATGACAAATTTAATTTGCTCGTTAGTAGAGTCCTGTTTTTCTTAATATATTTCTCATAATCTTATTTCTAAGATTTTTTTTTGGTTCAAATTTAGTTTGCTCGTTAGTAGAGTCCCTTCTTATACGAGAGTAGTTTTTGTTTTAACATTTTTGATGAATCTAATTTGCTTATCAGTAGAGTCCTTTTGCTTAACATATTTCTCATATTCAATTTGCTCATCGTTTGTGTTCTCTTTGTAGTTTTATTTTTTATTATTTTAGTAGTTTTTTTTCTTTTTTCAAATTTAGATGGCTCATTAGTAGAGTCCCTTTTCATTTATATGAAAATGATTTTTGTTTTAACATTTTTTGTCAAATTTCTTTAACCAATATTATTTGCAGAAAACAACTGCTTATAAACTCTGAATTTTTTGTTAAATTTATTTTTTTGAATTACAAAATATTTGAACATACTTTTTTTATAAAAAATCGAAACCGGCTTTTTCGAACATTTGTAAGTTATTATTAATTTCTTCTAGTGGACATAAATTTGTCGTACAAATATTTAGTTAATAAAAAAAAATCTCATAGATGATAATTTTTTTAAATGCATTTAGAACCAGCATATTGTCTTAAAAATTATATTATTTTGATTGGCAATAAATCTATGCAAAAAAAATTAGTTAATTATTTAAATTATAATGCAAGTTTAACTAACTGTTTGCTAAAGGTATCCACGTTTTAAAAATGTGAACAATCATGGATTTTTGTGACAACTTTTTGGTTTGATATATATAAAGAAGCAAAAAAATGTGATTAGTACAAAACAAGAAAACCTCAAGAAACATCAATTTTAATTTATATCATAAATTAGATACCCTAGCCCAAACAAGTAGCATGCGTTCCTGCACTTCTGGAAGACTGCAACTCCTCCTGCAGGATATCATACACCAATCGATGATGATGATGATGTCCAACATCATCCTGATGATGACAGGACTGATGATGAAGAAGATCAACTTGAAGATGATTTAGCACCATTGACTCCTAGAGGAGGAAGTTTATTGCAACCTCCGTCACCGTCATCTGCTTTGATGACTGTTTCTTTAGGTGAATAGGATAAAAAATTATGGATTCGTGGCCAAGAAATTTTTTTGGATTTTTGGTGGAAATGATCAGTTGATGTTGTAATAACATTTTGGGTTCTGATGTTGCTCTCTGGCTAATTTTGCACTCTTAAGGGTTATTCTAGTGTAGAAATTCAAAAAAATCGATTTTTTTTATTTCATATTTCCAAAGTTTAACTATCTAAGAATATGGGTACGAGAAGGTTTGAATTATTTTCGGAGATAGAGGCATTTTACTGACTCGGTCTCCATACTGGTTTGGCTTCACACAAAACTTTAAATGCGTTTTTCTCAGAACAGACTTTTTCAGTACTGTTGACACGATTTCTCAAGTTTTAATCGACCGATTCACTTGAAATGTTCAGAGAGTCTTGTTTATAGACCTCTCTGTAGCCCGAATTAGCATCATCTCCTAATTCCTATTTTTACTATTTTTAAAAAATTCGAGAAATTCAAAAAAAAACAGTAAAAAAACACTTTTTTTTCAAACAGTCGCCACTTTGTAAAACAATTTTTTGTTTACTCTAGTTCGGGCGATTGCGACATCATTGTAGATTAATAACATTTTTATTTCTTTTATTTCGGATGGCTAGGAGGGTTGAAATCATGGCAAGACTGAGGTGGCAATTTTTTTAGACCACCCACTTCATCAGCTGCCAGTTTTTACAATTTTCAACTTTTTTGTTCTTTAACTTCCCGTAGGGCAAGTTATAGTATTCGCAAAAAAATCGAAAATGAAAATTTTTGCATTTCTCGACGTTTCAAAGGTTTCTGAATATTTTGGCATACCTTAGAAAAAATGGATGTATGTGTGTGTGTGTGTGCGTATGTGTGTGCGTATGTGTGTGCGGATACATATTTTCGTCGACGATTTCGGGAACGCGGATGAAGCAATTTCAATGTTTTTTAAATTATTTAAATCGGTTGATCGGTGTTCTCGAAATCGTCGACGAAAATTTGTATCCGAAAACACACACACACACACATACATCCATTTTTTCTAAGATATGCCAAAATATTCAGAAACCTTTGAAACGTCGAGAAATGCAAAAACTTTCATTTTCGATTTTTTGCTATTACTATAACTTACCCTACGGGAAGTTAAAAATGTTCAGAATTTCCAAAATATGTCAAAATAAAGAAAACATTTTTCTTTTCAAAAAAATTTTGTTTAAAAAAAAAAATTTTTTTTTTCAAAAAAAGTATTTTTTAGTCAAATTTATAGTTTTTCAAAAATGTTAATCGTTTTTAAAAAAATAATTTTTGGTACGGTAAGTTCCAGCAATTTGCCTTAAGGCACGATGCCTTAATTGCCTTATGACAGAATTCCACTTACAGCTAGTTAATTTTTAACTTCCCGTAGGGTAAGTTATAGTAATCGCAAAAAAATCGAAAATGAAAATTTTTGCATTTCTCGACGTTTCAAAACCTTCTGAACATTTTGGCATACCTTAGAAAAAATGGATGTATGTGTGTGTGTGTGTGTGTGTGTATGTATGTATGTATGTATGTATGTATGTATGTATGTATGTATGTATGTATGTGTGTGTATGTATGTGCGGATACAAATTTTCGTCGACGATTTCGGGAACACGGATCAACCGATTTGAATAATTCAAAAAACATTCGATTCGTATTGATAAGGAGACGTGCTGATTAGTTTTTGGCAAAGGCAGGTCTAGCCGTTCCGAAGATACGGGGCAAAAAGTGACAAGAACGGTACCTCCGTTTTTAAGAGAACGGAGCGTCCGATTTGAATAATTCAAAAAACATTTTACTTGTATTGACAAGATGTAGAATTGATCAAATTTTCATGGAGGTAGGTTTAGCGGTTTCGGAGATCTAATGAAAAAAGTAAAAAATAATGCCATTCGGCGGTTAAGAATTATCATTAGACATATGCACATCAAATTATCAGATATTTTATAGAGATTTTAACAATAAGTATATTTTTTTTTTACATTTTTATGGGTTCCGTACCAATGCTTATGCGTTAGACGGCGGCGCGGCACATGCGCGCTTTGACATTTCGTCTCTATGCACTTCAAGCAGTGCGATTGCTTTGAAAAAAAGTTCAGAATTTCCAAAATATGTCAAAATGAAGAAAACATTTTTTTCAAAAAAATTTTTTGTATCCAAAAAAAAAATTTTTTTCAAAAAAAAATATTTTTTTTCATATAAATTTTTTTTTTCAAAAAAAAAGTAATTTTTTGTCAAATTTGTAGTTTCTCAAATCTATTTTTTTTAATTAAATTTTTTCAAAATGTTAATCGTTTTTAAAAAAATAATAATTTTTGGTACGGGAAGTTCCAGCAATTTGCCTTAAGGCACGATGCCCTAATTGCCTTAAGACAAAATTCCACTTACAGCTAGTTGTTTTGTATTTTAATAATATTAATAAACAAGTGGTAAAAGAATGGATAGTAATTGCTCATCGCTTTCTTTTACGACACTTTAAAAATGACCTAAAATTCATCGCTCTACACTAGAATACCCCCTTAACGTAAATGTGAAGTAACACCAATTTGCACTTTCTATACTTCTCATAATAAAATACAATTGCAAGTATTTTTTATCTATTACTCCAACTGTCGATTACAATTCAGATGGATATCTGGATCCCCAGCGAATATCCTTCAGTTCGCCTCCAGATTCAGACTTACAGCCGCCTCTAAGGCGACAACCTTCCTTAGACGAATCGTTCCCAGTTTTTTCGCCTCCTCCGGAAAAAAGCATTCAAATCACCGACACAAGAGGAACAATTCGTGCAGAAAGTTTTCCTCCGACGACTTCTATGGAATTGGGCCACCTTGGATGGAAGGATCTTTAAGGACACCTTTTCGAAGAAGACATTCCTCATCGTTGGCATCGAGATCACCAAATTCTCATCACACATGTAGGATTGGATTCGAGTTCTTGATGTTGTGATAAATGATAGTGATTTTATTTAATTTTATTTTAGTTTGCGTTGTTTGTATTATAGCTTAAGATTGTGAAATTATATTTTTTAGCCGAGTCAATAAAAGGGTGATCTCAGAAAGTCTTTCTTAAATTTAAAAAAATGCTCAAATCGGAGCTGATTTTGAAGTCTTTATAAAAGACTTTTCCCGGTATAAAAGTTTGGAATAAAATGACTTTGAATTCGACAGTTTTCGTCAAATAACTCACAAATATCGTATGAAAACACACATATTTGGTTAGATAGTGAGAAACTAGATAAAATTTACTACGATTCCATACCAACAGTTATATACACCCCGATATAAAAGTTTAGGAATAAAACGACTTTGAATTCGATATTTCATATTCTTTAGGATTTAATAGAAATTTCGGGACATTTTTTTTTTTTTGGTTTTTGTCAAATATCTCACAAATATCATATAAAAGTACCCCTTTTCTGTTAGATACGGAGAAACTAGATAAAATTTACTACGATTCCATGCCAACAGTTATATACACCCCGATATAAAAGTTTGGAATAAAACGACTTTGAATTCGATATTTCATATTATTTAGAATTTAATAGGGATATTTTTTGATTGACAAATGGACAAATGATTCAATAATAACAAATTTTCAATAATAACAAAAATAAATGAATAATTGAATATTTATAAAAATTACATAAAAAACCAGGACACACCAAAACAGCAAAAAATTGCTATTCTATTTAATTCGACAAATTAGCAATCCCAGAACTCAATATCAAGCCGAAAGGCAGTGATAGTCCTAAAAAAATAAAAAAAAAATATTTTAAGTGTTTTAAAAATTATAAGCTTTTAAGTGCAACTTAAAGCGTAGAATTGTGACAATTTTTCGGTTGTTGTGGTTGATTTTTAATATTTTTGTTTATTTAAACTTGGTAACCGCAAATAACATTTATAAGACCAAACTAAAAATAATGACATGATTGCCCTGATTTTCTAAAATTAAAACTATTTGTTTAACTATGAATTTAAATTTTTAAAAATAGATCGACTTTGAAATGCCTTTCTTTAAAAACTCTCTATAATTTATTCTCTTCTCTTTATATTCTCTATAATTTTTAGCCCAGATTTGTTTCTACTGGAGAAAATACGGAAAGAAGTGTAAAAATCTTAATCATCATATATATTCTTGATAATATTTAGACAAAATTCGTTTGTACTGGGAAAAATATATAAAAAAATGTAAAATTCTTAATAATCAAATATATTAGGTTGTCAAATATCTCCCTTCCGCTTTTTTGCTCTTGGTTTAATACAAAAAGGCGGAAGGGAGATATTTGACAACCTAATATTATACATTCGACATTTTGTTCCATGTAAAGCGTTATAAAATAAAGTTTCACAATTCACATCGTTATATCATATATGGATATGAAACATTTTTTATTTTTCGTCAAATAACTTTTAATTTTTTATCTTGTACATTTTAATTTGTTTACATTGGTAAAAACTAGATAAATTTACTAAAATCTAGTACAAACAATTATATACATTTTCATGTTAAAATTTTAAATAATTCTTGGTTGAAATACGGACAATAGTATTTTGATAATTTGCAGTATATGGATTTTGAACATTTTTTTAGTTTTTTTTTTCAAATAACTTTTAAATTTATTTCTGGACATTATAATTTGTTTACATTTAAAAAACTAGATAAAATAAACTAAAATCTAGTGAAAACTGTTATATATACTTGCTTATTAAAATTTTGAATAATTTGTAATTGAAATGCGGACTTAGATTTTGATATTTAGCATTATATGGATTTTGAACATTTTTCAAATAACTTTTAAATTTTGTCCAAGACATTATAAATTGTTTATATTATTAAATACTGGATAAAATTTACTAAGATATAGTACAAACAATTATATACATTTCATGTTAAAATTTTGAATAATTCTTGGTTGAAATACGGACATTAGTATTTTGATAATTTGCATTATATGGATTTTGAACATTCTTTTAGTTTACTTCAGATAACTTTTAAATTTTGTCCTGGACATTAAAAATTGTTTACATTATTAGATAGGGAGAAACTAGATAAAATTTACTACGATTTCATGCCAATAGTTATATACACTCCGATATAAAAGTTTGGAATAAAACGACTTTGAATTCGATATTTCATATTCTTTAGAAATAAATAGAAAATTCGGGTCATTTTTCTGGTTTTTGTCAAATAACTCACAAATATCATATGAAAGCACCCCATTTCAGTTAGACAGGAAAAACTAGATAAAATTTACTACTATTCCATGCCAACAGTCATATACACTCCGATATAAAAACGGCAAAAAACCTTTATTGGCTTGGCTATTTAATTTTACAAAAATGTAAATATTTATAAATATTTAACATTTACCTTACAGTTGCCTCCGAGTTGGAACCAGTACACCAACCTGTATATAAACCATCATGTAAAGTGTAAATATAAAAAATATAAATTTTCCAAATGAAACCTCGATGTTGTAATTATTTCTTATACTGTTGTAAATAATTTCTCTATTTACCGATATTAATTATATGTTATTATTTCTTATTAACCGATATTAATTATATGTTGTACTGCACTTTATTTCTATTTTTGGCACCATTTTAGATTTACTATTTGGATCCGAATGTAGACCAGGTACCGCAAGAAAGAACCAAAACCTACCTCGAGG